GNNAGAACTAACCTAGCAACAAAAGACAACTAACCTAGCAGCAAGAAAAAAATAACCTAGCAACAAAACTCAACTAACATAGCAGCTACAAATAACTAACCTAGCAACAACAAACAACTAACCTAGCAAGAAAGAAATAACATAACAAAAGACAAATGGTCAACGGTCAACGTCGGAAGTCAACGCCGGAAGTCAACGGTCAATGGTCATAATAATATTTAAATAATTAAAAATAATGAATTAAATAATAAAAATAAAAAAATTATTATTTAAATTAAGATCTAAATCTTGTGGCTAGGAATGAGTCTCACGTTCTCACTTTAAATAATGGGATGCATTGGAACCAATCCCTATATATATATATATATATTCTAAAATGTAATACCTAACTAATAATTTTTAATATTATATAGATTAGCATTTGTGCACGCAACAAGATTAATAAAGACGACTAGTTAAGGGGTACAAGCAAAATAAGACGAGTTTGGAGGGGGAAAATGCAATCGGCCTCCACTTTTAGTTTTTAATTTTTATTACCTGTTTCTCTCTCTCTCTCTCTTTAATCTGCTTCATTTAGCGCGACAAAAATTTGAGGGGATGATAGTGCGATGTGAGAATTGCAGTTCTCGACATAGGTAAGAGAAAGTAGGATTTGGTGGCTACGGAGTCCGAAATGTGTTGCAGTCAGTCCCGACATAGGCAACTTGATTTGCTATTGAGGAATGTGGTCAGTTGTTGTTCACTGAGATCCATAGGGAGAATAAAATTCTGAGAGATACAGAGATGAAGGGTGGGGGTGCTTCATCGTCATACTCCCTTACGGCTAAGAGAAGATGGAAAGGTCTGGTGATGGCGGTGCTTGGCCTAGTATTTCTCTCCATGCTCGTCCCGCTTCTATTCTTGCTCGGCCTCCACAGCGGTTTCCACTCTACCACTGGTAACCTTCTTTCCCTTCCTGCTCCGTGTAATCTTCACATTAGATCTGTTTCGCTGTACGTTAGCTTCTTCTAATTTCCAATCAGGTTCGATCTGTCTTAGCCTTTGTCATCGAGATCCTCGTTTTTTTTCCTTTCCCTTTCTTTCATTTTCCTTTCTTTGTATTGGGCTCCCTTTGTGGTTCAAGAGTTCAAATTCAAATTGAGTCTGTGTTATTTCCACATAATCAAATCATAAATGGCCAACATATGGTGTCTTTATGTATGTGTTTCTGGGTGGGTGCAAACTGCANTATATGATTTTTTAGAACTATTTTAGCTTTATGAATCTGGAACTGGGGGTATTTTAATTTATTGAAATCATTTCAGGATATGGTACTGAACAACAGAATTCAGCCTCAGTAAGTATTTCTTTACCTCGTACAATATTGAGAAATTATTCTTCTCTCATCCATTCTCTCCAAATAAGTAACTATAGCTTTCTGTATGTTTATTGGTGTGACCAGAACGATTTAAGGGTTTTTGATCAACACAATCCTGCTGATAAAAGCAATCAATCTAAGGTACGGAACAGCATTGCCCATTGGGTTGTTGATGCATGCCCTGTTACTGCTTGTTTTGACGTCTTACGATTTGCTACACGTATATTGAGTCAATATATTTTCATTGTGCGTAGAAATGCATGTGCGTCAAGATTTTTCATGTCTGATAGTGGAATAGTTTTTCCATGGAGATATCATTCTTTTTGGATGCTTTTTCTCCAGCATTCTTATCCGTTTTGGGTTATTTTTGTAGGTTCACCAATCAACTCATACAGATGATCTTATAAGGAGATTGGTTCCAACTCTACCGCAGGTTCATTGGTCATATATTTAGGATTTAAGAGTATTTCTAATTGAGTAGGTTTTAGAATCTTTTTTATGGAAACAACATTTATTACCAGATGGCAGTTATAATGACAGTATCTTTGAAGAGTTGAATTATGGTCTTTTTTCCAAATATGATATAGAATGAAATTCTTGATAATATTGAATGGAGGAGAAAAATTCAAACTAACTTGATGAATTTAAACGCCAAGTAAAAGGTTTACATTAACAGTATGGAGTTGTGTTTCAGCAGATTGGGAGCTGTGAACTAAGCGTTGCATTTGTTCTTAATTGTTGTATATCCTTGTGCGCATTACTTGATTCACACATGAACTTTGCTGGACCAGATGCTTATCACACATACATTTTCTGTTTCAACTAGAGAGGTTCTTTCCTTTTATGCTATCAATCATGATAATCCCCAAAATAAATTGCAAACACCAGGTCCTTCTACTAGATACTTCTGTTTTGGTGTAATTTGACCCCCTTGTCTAGGTTTGCATTCTAAATTTGCCAAACATTTCTCTCACTAATGTCGATTGGGAAATCTATACATAGGTTGGTCCATGCAATCTGTATTTTCCTTGAAGCCTATTCTTTATTGTTTTACTGCTAAACTATCTTGTAGAAGACTGTGGTTCATCCAAAATAACTAGCCCTGTGATTGGCTATGCTAGCAATATGTTCAGGACTAGTTCGAAACTTACAGGATTAGATTTCTTATGAGCTATCACAACATTTTCATTCAGATGTTTGATTTGGATGGTTGTAAAGGGTTGTGTATTATCCTCCATGTTTACCTTCAACCAGATCTTGCTTGCGTGCTGTAGCCTATCTCAGGGAATATGTAAATACCATTATATTATCAGGCTCTTTACATCTTGTTTCATCTTATTCTTTCAGGATATATTCCTACTTGACATAGATGGCTACAGTGTTACGTATTTATGAAACTTGTGTGAATGAAATCTGGACTCTTATTTTTTCATTAACTTGCTTGACTAGCATCTATGAATTCTATTTAACTAAAGAGAATCTTTGTTCCGTGGACTTGGACCTGAACATACTGCTGGTGAAATGGTCTCTGTGCAATGTCATAATTTTTTCTGCTTATTTTATTTGGCAGGGTGTTGCTGATAACTTTGTTAAGGAAGCTGAGAACAGTACCAATGGTATGTAATCTCCTAATAATTTAATTCAGAACTGGTGAAAAATTGTAGGTTCTATTGTTTTTGGTTCATCAATCTCTTTTTCTGTAAATTATACCACAGGTTTTTCTGTGCCAGCGGCTGTGCCAAAAAAAGATCAAAGGGTAAATTTGTCATTTAACAATTGAAACACTTACATTTTTGCACTGTTATTGCTAAACAAAGGGCTGTAAGTTCTGTTGCAGGACAACAAACCTCCTATTGTCAGAGATAGAACTAGTTACAATATGATAGTGGCTGACGAGAGTGAAATGACATGTCAATTAAAGTTTGGGAGTTATTGCTTATGGCGCCGGGAACAAAAGTCAAAGATGGATGACTCTGTGGTGAAGAGGATGAAGGATTTACTGTTTGTTGCTCGTGCTTATTATCCGAGTATTGCAAAACTTCCTACACAGGAGAAATTGTCTCATGAATTGAAGCAAAATATTCAGGAATTTGAGCGTGTTCTAAGTGAAACTACAACAGATAAAGACCTTCCTCGCCAGTATGTTCAAATGCAACCCTTTCATACAGTGCATTTATCTGATTTCGGTCTTTGTTAGTGCATTATGTTTTATAGTTTCAAAGTCATCTATCAGTCCTTCTCAATCCATGACGTTACATTCCTAGCATCTTTTGCTGCTTATTGTGATTAAGGCATAAATTGGATTGCAAACTTAACTGGACCTTCTTCACTTAGTAATCATATTTTCTTCATCAACTGTTTGCCTGGAAACAGTTTGAAAAAACTGACAGTTAGAAAATACAAGGAAAAATTATCTATTGGGAACAGTTAATTGAAGTCACAATATGCATCCAGGGTATCTCTATGTATTTTGGGGTTGTTTAATGTTAACTATACGTGGCAGATGTCAAAAGAAGCAAACAGAATGTTAGGTGTGATCTTCAACTGTTTACAAGTTTTATCTTCTGCTGCTGCTGTTGGTTGCAACTGTATATTGTGTGAGGAAACTTCATAAGAGTTTTGGATGTTCTTTTTGTAATGTCACCTCTTATCTCATTTATTTCTTTTGATTTACTTCTACTTGGTCTCATGGGAGTTTCTTGAAAAGGAAATCTGAGAGGGTATATTAGTCTAAAATCACCGTGCCTTCATGCCTTATATGCGAAATTTTCTCAAACCCCAATGATAGATATTAATCACCCTGAAGCATCGTAAGGTTCATTTTATGTATTTTTTATTTTTTTTATCAAGGCCGGCATGAAATCCTTGTTCGAAGTTATTCACAGCCTTTCCATATTTGCATAGAAGTTGGCTTAATTACCCCTCAGATTTGGAGCAATTACCAAAAAAAAGTAAAAATAAAAATAAAAACATCAAAACTTCGAATAGTTGAAAGCTCACTATTTGTTTCCTTTTACGAATGGGTGTGATGTGTCATGAACATGGAGATGTTGAGGGTGTGTTTTCAATTTTATGATGTTCTTAGAAACTTTTTTGTACGTAACTAGGTCAGTTTTATTAGGCAAATCCCAAATCAAATTATGATCTCATATTTTTCCAGCTGCAAAATATGACATGTACATAAGATGGAAATTATTCAATTTTCCTTGCATAGAACCAGTGAGCTGTCTGTGCGACTTAACTGTGATTGTTGACCATTTGAATGACATATACAAGCAAAACAAACTGCTGTGAGTGCCATTGATGAATCTAATTTCTGATATTTAATGGTTAACATCTCTGAGTTTGGTGCGAACATTACTTTCTTTTATTTTCTTATTTTTTTTGTTTTCCAAATCATGCTTGCCCATTATAGTTGGGTGAGGTTCTCTTAAATAAACTAATAAGCACCTTATAAATCTTTCATTAAGAAGCTTCGTCATAGCTATTCAGTTTTGGAATATGAATCTGGAATGCTAATGAATGACTTTGCCCATTCCATCAGGAACATGCAGAAGATGACTATGATGGAGGCTTCTATAGCCAAAGCGAAATCATGCCATGTGGACTGTAATAATGTTGATAAAAAGTTTCGACAACTAGTTGACCTGACTGAGGATGAAGCAAATTTTCACATGAAGCAAAGTGCCTTCCTCTACAAACTTTCTGTTCAAACTATGCCTAAGAGTCTACATTGCCTAACGATGAGATTGACTGTAGAATATTTCAGATCTCCTGTGGACGTTGAGCAGGAGGCACTGGTTAAGAAGTTTGTAAACCCAGACTTGTTCCACCATGTCATCTTCTCCAGGAATATACTACCATCATCCGTAGTAATAAATTCAACCATACTACATGCAAAAGTATGATCGTTTTACTGGTCTTGTTCTTTTTATTTATTTGTTCTATCTTGTTACCCTTGTATATTTACTAATATATAATTCAATTCACATGGTTGTGCCACTGATGAGGCTTTATCCTACTTGTAGGAAAGTGATAAGCTGGTTTTTCATCTGCTGACAGACGAGGAAAATTACTTTGCTATGAAATTATGGTTTTCCAGGAACAAGTATGGGGATGCTGCCATTCAGGTTCTGAACATCGAGGACCTTAAGTTGTATAGTCATCGTAAGATGGCACCAGTACATCTGTCATTGCCTGAAGAATTTCGTGTTTCCTTTCCTAGGGTTGATAAAATGTCTTCTAGCCTATTTAGAACGCAATACCTATCTATGTTTTCACATTCCTTCTATCTCCTTCCTGATATTTTCCAATCTCTAGAGAAAGTTGTTGTTTTAGATGATGACATCGTTGTTCAGAGAGACTTGTCACCCCTGTGGAACCTTGACATGGGGGGAAAAGTAAATGGTGCAGTGCAGTCATGTGCAGTGAAGTTGTTTCACCTGAAAAAATACTTGCCTAACAGCAGATTTGATGAAAATTCATGTTCCTGGACGTCTGGGATAAATATCATTGATATATCTCAGTGGAGGATACATAATCTTACCAAAACATATCAACAGTTGGTGCATGGGGTGAGTGAAGATTGTGAACAGCTTTATATGTTGCAATTTATTATTTGTTAAAAGAATACTAACAGTCAGATTCTTATTATTTGCTGCACAGATGTGAGTGGCTTTTATTTTGCACCTGGAAAGTTGACAACATCACTTCTTTTTAAACAAGCAATTATGTTCCTAGAATTGAAATTCTCTTCTTTTTGAAATTTTAAAATCCTCAATAATACATATTGCCTGAAAATTGATCCAGATCAGAGAGAACATCATAATTTTTTCCTTATTGTATGATACTATTGAAGCAAATTTGTTACACTTCTCTAACTGTTAGTGGGGGGAGCGATCGAGCTTGAAGAGCATATTTGTCAATAAAAAATCAATTGATGTTATACTCTGAAATTTACTAGACATATTAATTCGAATTTGTACATGTTTCCCACTTCTTTGAGTGCTTCATACCATATTGGAAAAAGTAAAAAGGTCTGGATATTTATAATTTTTAACTCATATTCTGATTTTGGAGCAGATGAGCAGAGAAGATGGATTATCTGAAACTAGTACATTAAGCGCCGGCTTGCTCACATTTCAAGGTACAATTTATGTTCTTGAGGATAGTTGGATGTTATCTGGTCTGGGATATAACTACGAAAAAAATTTGGAAGCCGTGGGTGCCGCTGGAGTATTGCACTTTGATGGGAGCATGAAACCGTGGCTTGAGCTTGGGATTCCCAAGTACAAAAGTTTTTGGAGGAAGTATCTCAACTCACAAAATCACTTCTTGAGCGAGTGCAATGTAAATCCTTAGAAGTCACTATGGTTGCTCTTTTTATCTGAAAATTTGAGGTGATGTAGTACTCTACACAGAGTAGGATCATCATCTCTGTTCTGTGAGGTATCCAACGGCAAACTTCAACCATGGTCAAGTTTGACTCAGGTATCTATCTATTTATAGCTAGCTGAGGAGGTAAAGGGCATCTCTGATTTGTGGCAATTGCTGTGGTTGAACACAATCAAATTTTCACATACACATTTTATTAGACGTGTGCATGGAGTAAACACCAAAGTTCACTTCTGGCCGAAAGTGAATTGATNAGCAAAAACATTTTTTCATGTGTGCCTGTGGGAGGACTAGCATTCAAGAATCTTGGCTGGAAACTGATTGTAATACTAATTATGTTAATACCGACCTACCGAGAATGTCCAATTGATAACTCCTTGGGCATTTCAAATCATATTTAAAAATAAAATTTGAATGAAATAGCTACCCTATATATGGCTAAAATTATTCCTTAAGCATTGTTAGTGCGTATATGGAAAACTTTTATCACACAGCCTATAGACGCTATTGGGAGAGAAATATAATATTTTGAATATCAATCAATTTAGTTTGGTGATGTTATTATTAATGCAGTGAATGTGTTTGAGGAATACTCCAAAATAATAAATTATTATTTATTTTTTTCACACCATATTTTCAAAATATTTATTTTTCACCAAAGATTGCATTACATGATCACATTGCATAATGTGATTGTACAACAAAATCAAACAATCGAGGCACTATTAATATCTTGTGAAAGCTAGTTGCACATTAATAAATTAATGCTCATTTTTAGGCTAGCTACCTGAGTTTGGCAACTGAACTGAAAAGTAAATAATCCTTCTTATTATTAATAATAAGTGTCGTTTTTTAGAAGTTACACAGTAATTAAGAATTTTTTTTGCCAATAATAAAGATAAAGATGATTATTTTGAGAAAAGATAAAGATTTAATATGAAAAGTAAATAATCCTTCTCATTTTTAGGCTAGCTACCCGGTCAAAACCCGGCCGACCCGGCAGAGACCCGGCCGGGTCAACCCGGTTGACCCGGTCCATATATATTTTTTATATTTTTTTTTTTTATTTTTTTTGTTTTTTAAAAATAAAAATATGTATATATGTTTATATGGTAAATAGTTATCATGAAATACATATTATTAACACTTTAATATACAAATTTTATACACAAAACATTTAATTTGTTACTTTTATGTATATTTATATAACAAAAATACTCTATATATAATTTTAAAATTTTTTAAATTAATTATCCGGTTCAGCAATTGACCCGGTGACCCGACGGTTGAACCGGTGACCCGGTGACCCGAGGACCTGCCCGGGTCGATCACCGGGCCGGTTTTAAAAACTATGCATCTATCCATCCTGTTGTTTTTGAATAATTAATTAATTAATTAATTAATTAATTAATTGCGAGTTTTCCTCGTTAAAATGAACAATGATGGATCACAGCTTGGATGTTGAAGCTGAGCCATCGTCACTGTCTTCGAGACCAGAGGACAGGCTGATGACGCAATCAGTAACTAGAAAATCGAAATCGCCCAAATGTAATGCATCTGCCTGTGCGTAACCGCCGTCGTATTGGGGCTGGGCTTGCTGTTCCTAATCCTAGGGCTCACCGTCTTCAAGTCAAACGCCCCCGCACCTCCGTTGATTTCGTCTCCCTCGAAGATCTCGATTCCTCCTTCGATTTCGCCAGGCTCAGGCTCCACCTCAACCTCACCCTCGACCTCCGCATCTCCGTCACCAACCCCAACCGCGTCGGCTTCAGGTACACCACCAGCACCGCTCTCCTCCGCTACAGAGGCGGCGAAGTCGGCCAAGTCCCCGTACCCGCCGGCCGGATTGGCTCCCGCGACACGCACACTCTCAACCTCACCCTCACTCTCATGGCCGATCGACTCCTCACCAACTCTGCTGTCTACTCCGACGCCATCTCCGGTACGTTGCCTTTACAAACTTACGTCAGACTTGCCGGAAAAGTGCGGATCCTCTTTAATTTTCACGTTGTCACCTACACCACATGTGACCTCGAAATTGCACTTTTGAATCGCACGGTTTCTGAAAGATATTTTATTTTGGCATTAGTTCGATAGTTCGAACAAGCATCTGGAACCACAGAATAAAAAGGGAAGATCTTTACATATTATATTTTCTTAAGTAATATTGTTTTATATTCCGTATGTAAGTCCATGTAGATCTTATTACGGTTTTTATATGACAGGTAATTGCACGAGGAGAGATAAAGAAGAAGGAGAAAAGAGACATGTTTGGAGAGGAGATTAATGAGAGAGAAGAAAAGATTTCTTACCAAAGATATGCCATTATCTTGGAAGGAAATCTTGTTTGAAGTCCTATGCCTTGTAGAAGACTCCAACCCTAAGGAGATCATATAAATACCCTAGAAGAAGCTTATGGCGGCCGTGGATTTTCACAGAGAATTATTCGAGAGCCATACTAGCTTTATTCGCTTTCAGTTCTAGTTTGATTGTATTCAGTTCAGTCTGAGAGTTCTTACAAACTCAAGGACTAGTACTGCTTTTCGTTTAGTTCTTTATACATTTCATCAAAACTATTTTACGGTTTGTACACTTAGGGAATAAGTGTAGGTTTATAAGTCCACGGGACGTGGCCGGAGAATTAGTTGATAGGATCAAGTAGTGTTGGCTAGATTTGAAGGGAGTTCGAATCTCTGTAAGTCCAAACTATGTATACGAGTGATCTATCAATGAAAGAGCTCTGAGGGGAAGTGGGACGCTTCCCTGAAGAGTTTATTAACCTTCGGTTATTTGCTTCCGCATTTTACAATTCTTACTGTAGTTCGTACTAATATTCGCGCACTCCGTGACAAATATAAGTTTCAATTGGCACCAGAGCAGTGTTCCTGTTCTTACTACGGGATAAAGATCTTTGGGACTGTGTGTTGGTCACCATGAGTCACGATGGAATGTCTGTTTCGCGCCCTCCGTTCCTAGATGGAGCAAACTATGCTTATTGGAAATCCATGATGGTAATTTTTCTTCGTTCCCTTGGTAAAGGCACGTGGCAGGCCGTTGAATCAGGATGGTCGACACCACTTATGCCAAAAGCTCCCACTGAATTTAAACAAGGTGAACCTTCGGATGCAAAGTCGTCTATTTCTGCCACTCAAGTTCTTGTTGAAAAACCAAGGAGTCTTTGGACTGACGATGAAAAACAAGCGGAAGAAGCGAACTTCCGTGCTTTGTATGCTATCATGTCTGCAGTAGATCCAACTCGTCACAAGATAATCATTCAGTGCACCACAGCTCAAGAAGCCTGGAGGATTTTGGAAAGACAATTTGAGGGTACAAATGCTGTAAAAACCTCAAAACTGCAAAGGGTCTCTACAGAACTTGATGAAATCCGCATGAGGGAGGATGAAACTATCGATATGTACTATGCTCGGTTCTGCGACCTAGTTAACCAAAGTGCGATGCTTGGTGAACCGGTTCCTGAGGCAAGGCAAGTTCAGAAATTGATGAGAACTCTGCCAGATAGGTTTGGGATCAAGATCACTGCACTTGAGAGCTTTCAGAGGATTCAGAAACTTGGCATTGACGATCTTCTCAGCGAACTTCGGACATTTGAAATCAATCATGGTTTTGATTCTATGAGAATAAGCAAAGGAAAAGGCTTAGCACTAAAGGCCAAGGTTCGCACCTCAGTAGCTGAAGATGAAGAATCTGATGAGGAATCTTTTGATCCTGATGAAATCACCAAGGCACTTACTGTACTCTCTAAAAATGTCTCGAAGCTTAAGAAATTTCAGAAAAAGAGGTTTCAGGGTAATAGATCGTTTGATGGAGGTAGGAACCAAATTCAGCAATTCGGAGAGAAGCGTTCTGGTCTGCAACTGAACAAGTTCCAGAACTCTAATCAAGGAGTAGAGAAGGACCAATGCCGTGAATGCAAGGGATTTGGACATTTCCAAAAAGATTGTCCTAATTTCAAGAAGAAGAACAAGACTTTCAAGGCTACGTGGTCCGATTCCAGCGACGACGAGGACAAAGAATCTGAAACAACTGAGAATTCTATCTACTCAAATAACTCTGCTAAATGTCTTCTTAATGAATATAACTGCTTTACCTCTTCTGTTCATCTAACTGATGTTGAATCTGACGCAGGTTCTTACGCAAAAAACTTGAGCGAAGTGGACTCTGATGAATTTTCGGACCCAGCTGCCGAGAATCTTGTACTTCACAAGTACGCCATTGAAAAGTGTCTCAAGGCAAGAGACATCATCAATAAGTACCATACTCAGAAGCAGAAGATGAAGGCTTTGGAACAACGATCTAGCGAACGTGAGAAAGAGATTGACTATCTTCGGAGTGAGCTTCAAAAGATGAGAATGATGACAGTCGATTTGAACGAGAAGCTTATTAAATCGGATCTCCATACCGCAAAGCAGGATAAGGACTTAAATAGTTGTTTTGCAAAACTTGCCTTGGTTGAACATGGGGATAAACTCAACAAGCAGGCAAGTGACGAGCTGAATTTTATTATTGAAAACTTACGTAACGAGTTGTTTGCTTTGCAAAATGTTGCAGGTGAGAGAGAAACTGAGATAGCCGTACTCAAGGAGGAACTCGGGCAATTAATGGAGGAACACATGACACTTAGAAGTCATTGCTCTACCCTTGAAGAGAAGTTGGGTAAAAGCGAGGAAGTCGTCAAGATGATCAATAAACCCAAGACCTCATATGCAGAAGTTCAAAGACTAAGTCAACAGATTGGTTCATCCGACTCGAGTAAGAACCTCCATACTCAGAAACTGAAGGGGAAGGTCGGAGAATCAGACACCTCACTAAGGAAGACAGGTCTGACTTTTGTTAAAGAGGGGTACTCACTTGACTCCAAAAAGGGTAAGCCAAACTCCCCAAAAGCATCACACAAAGATTCAGGTAAGAACTTTGTACCCGTTTGTCACTACTGTGGGATTCGAGGTCACATTCGTCCCAAGTGCTACAGAATGCACAATGATATATATACGGGTCGAATTAATGACTGGAGTCCTCACGGTGTTCCCTTGAAAGCACCTAAACTCAAAATTGACATTGTAAATTCTGAACAGAAAAAGATCTGGGTTCCAAAGGTAAATAAGAACGTCTGTCTGTCTTCTATAATTGCCTTGAAATCCACTTCTAATTCTGACTGGTACTTTGATAGTGGATGCTCTCGTCACATGACAGGGATAAAATCCAACTTGGTTGATATTATGCCTGTCTCATCTAGTTCAGTAACTTTTGGTGATGGAGCTAAGAATAAGGTTCTTGGAGTAGGGTGTTTGAATGTTCCTGGTCTGCCTAAACTTAAAAATGTTCTTTTGGTTCAAAACTTGAAGGCAAATCTTCTGAGTATTAGTCAATTATGTGATCAGGGTCTGTATGTGAACTTTACTAAAACTCAGTGTCGTGTGTCTGATCAAGAAAACAAACATGTTCTTACTGGTACTAGATCTAGGGATAATTGTTATCTAGTGGAATTTGATTTGAAGTGCAATAAAACCAGTACTGATATGACTGAACTATGGCATCAAAAGTTAGGACACATTAATTATCCTCACTTACTTGAACTTTCTTCTACAGGGGCTGTTCGAGGATTGCCCAAGCTGAAAAGGGAAGTACCACGGGTGTGTGGATCTTGTCAAATGGGCAAACAGAAAAGGGCGTCTCACAAAAGGTTGACTGAGATCAGTACGAACCAGATAATGGAACTGATTCACATGGACTTGATGGGACCGATTCAGGTTGAAAGCTACAGTGGTAAGAAGTATATTCTTGTTTGTGTGGATGATTACTCTAGATTCTCTTGGGTTGATTTCTTAAAAGATAAATCTGATGCTCTTGATGCTTTTAAAAGACTTGTGCTGAAACTTGAGAATGAAAAACGGACCAATCTCGTTGCCATTAGAAGCGATCACGGTAAGGAGTTCGAGAACCGTGGTTTTGAACTCTTTTGCGAATCTCGTGGGATCTTTCATCAGTTTTCTTCTCCAATCACTCCACAGCAGAATGGAGTCATGGAGCGTAAGAATAGAACTCTTCAGGAGATGGCAAGAGTGATGCTTGTCTCCCAGAATATGTCCTTGAGATGGTGGGCCGAGGCGGTAAATACCGCATGCTATATAACTAATCGTGTGTATTGCAGGAAAGGAACCGGGCTGACCTCTTATGAACTGTGGAAAGGTAAAGCACCTAATGTGAAATATTTTCATGTATTTGGATGTCGGTGTTATATTTACAATGATAGAGATCATCTTGGTAAATTTGAGTCTAAAAGTGATGTAGGTCAGTTCCTTGGTTATTCTACTAACAGCCGTGCATTTCGTGTCTATAATTTGCGAACTGAAGTAGTCATGGAATCCGTTAATGTGGTTTTTGATGATGTGTCTGAATGTGTTACGATGCCTGATGTGTCTAAACTTGATGTGTCTAATAATGAGGAGGTGTCTAAGTCTGATTCTGGAAGTGTGTTGAATGAAGTAAAAACTGAAACACCAGATTGTGATGAACATGTAATTGTTAATGAGTATAGTGTTCCCACGAACCTTGGAACTCCGTCTGAACCAAAGCGCGATCCTCCCGCCAAAGTTCAGAGGGATCATCCTAAGGACCAGATCATAGGAGGAATCACTGAGCGTAATACTAGAGGTGTAAAACCCGACTTTCGGAGAATAGCTGGTGTGTGTCATTTTGCATGTTATGTGTCTAAAGTGGAACCTAAAAATGCCAAAGAGGCCCTGTGTGATGATTTCTGGGTTCTGGCTATGCAGGAAGAACTAGAACAGTTTGTGAGAAACGATGTGTGGGAACTCGTACCTAGACCTTCCGATTCGAACGTCATTGGAACGAAATGGATTTTTAAAAATAAGACGGATGAATCGGGAGAGATCACTAGGAACAAGGCACGCCTCGTAGCTCAGGGGTACACCCAAGAGGAAGGTGTTGACTTTGATGAGACATTTGCCCCTGTAGCTCGTCTGGAGTCTGTTAGGATGTTCTTATCTATTGCGTGTTTACTTGGATTTGTGATTTATCAAATGGATGTTAAGTCCGCCTTTTTGAATGGGTTCTTGAAAGAGGTTGCGTATGTTAAGCAACCTGAAGGGTTCGTGGACCCACATCATCCTGACCATGTTTATAGGCTGAAGAAGGCTTTGTATGGGCTGAAACAGGCACCGCGAGCCTGGTACGAACGCCTAACTCAGTTTTTGGTCGAGATGGGCTACTCTCGAGGGGGAGTTGATAAAACTCTATTTGTTCGTAAATCTCATAAAGATATTATCATTGCACAGATATATGTAGATGATATAATCTTTGGTTCTACCTC